TACAATGATACAGTGAGTTATCGTTGTGGTGGGATATGTACCTTGCTATGCTTCAGGTAGCGAGGACCATTTCGGGCAGAGCCTTCTGGGGGTGCACATGGTACTGGAGCTTAAGCTTTTGCTCTACTACTTTAAATCACATCTTGGCATGGATATTTATTTCATGCATATTAAATATAGAAAATGGAGTATTTTACAAGAATAAATACCCTGGGCCAGAAAGATAGTACAGAGGGTACTTGCCTTGCACACAGTTGATCCGAATACTATCCCTGGCACCACTTATGTTCCCCTGGGCTCTAACCAGGGGTAAGCCCTGAATACAGTTGAGTAATATCTAAAGAGGAACCATACCAAACCAAAACAAACACCAAAAAACAAAAAAGAGCAAAACAAAAAAGCATAGATTCTTGACATTAGTTTGCTAGAAACAAACGAGAATCTGGGGCATCATAAGAGATTTTCTGAAGAGAATAGAGAAAAACTGTTGGATATTCAGATTTTTTTTTTAAGCTTAGGGCCTTGGGCCAAACCCTGCAGTACTGGGTCTATCCCCAGCCCTGTATTTGGGAGTTACTCCTAGAGGTGCTCAGGGGACCATGCAGTGCAGGAGTGGAGGGCCATTGAAACCAGGGTGGCAAATATAAGGAAGGCCTCTTCTGTACTAACTCTTGGCTCCATATCTCGCTTTTCCTTAGATATAGCCAGGCAGAATGTATGAGAGTAGATAGTTCTTGCTACACCATACTGTATTTACACTTCCTGATAGGTTGCAAGCGTTCATGGGTCTCACACAAAGGATTGGTTTGTGAGAAGATGAAGCATGATCTGAATTTATGACATCTGTAGCTTTATGTCTATATCGATGTAGATAAATATTGTAAATATTCTATGTGTAAGATATTCAAAGACGGCAAAACCTTATGCTGGCCTTCCTAAACTCATGAATGACAAAAATTTGCTTTTCTCAAGTGGAAGTTCATGCTAGATATATTGCAACTCACAAACTTGACGAAGGTCTATTATGATGGCTTGGCACATTTTCATACAAACATTTGTCATTATTGTGGTATTAGGATAATCCATCATACATTTTATATATGTATTTCAGTTACTCTGTGCAGAAGAAAGTAAAAATTAATGAGACATATAATTAAGAGATGGTATTACTTGGCACGCTTCAGAGTCAAAGTGGAAGTTAGAGGTTAGGTTTACTGATGCAAAGTCCAACACTAAATTTTGTTTTAAGATACATGTTACTTTGAGTTACTTAATTTAATTCTTTCAATGAATGTGTTATACCCAGCAGTGGTAGAGAAACAACCAAACAATGATTAATAGTTTATTGGTAACTTCAAGAAAGTTTCATTTGGGGGCTGGAGTGATAGCACAGCAGGTAGGGCATTTGCCTTGCATGTGGCCGACCCAGGTTCGATTCCCAGCATCCCATATGGTACTCTGAGCACCACCAGGAGTAATTACTGAGTGCATGAGCCAGGAGTAACTCCTGTGCTTCACCAGGTGTGACCCAAAAAGCAAAAAAAGGAGAAAGTTTCATTTCAATATATTTTATAACAAAGGCAGTCTCTTTGCTTACTTTTGATAATGTGTTTATTTTGAGGGGGAGTATGGTTTATTTTATATATATATATGTAGTTAAAGTTTTTTTTTTTAAGTACCGCAAGTAGCATGTTTCAGTTAAGGACAACGGATATGTGTAACTATGGTGCATATACTTTTGAGTATTTATGGAGTGTAAGAATATAATAGTAGTTTTGTATAGTAACAGTGTAACAGTTATTGTGTGCTTTTAAACCTTTCTAAGATTTCATTTCTGCACAAATGAGCTCTGTGAAATTATTATGTCCTAAATACTAATGTTTGTCTTTCACCCAATTTATCTGCACTTCATAAAAAACGCTTAAATATTATTCCTTAAATTTGCTTTTCACTATGTAAAAAATCTATGAACTTCTCAGATAGAGAAGGGAGCACCAAATAAAGGATGTTTGGAGGATCCTCCCAGGAGGGGAGATGCATGTCGAAAGTAGACTATGGACTGAACATGTTTGCCACTCAATGCCTCTTTTGCAGACCACAACACCCAAAAGGAGAGAGAGAACACAGGGGATTGCCCTGCCACAGAGGCAGGGGGAGAAGAGGGGGATGGGGGTGGGAGGGATATTATCCATGGTGGTGGAAAATGGGCACTGGTGGAGGGATGGGTATCTGATCATTGTATAATTGAAACCAAAGCACAAAAAATTGTAAATTTACAACTGTAAAAAAAAAATAAAATAAAATAAAGGGAAAAAAAATCTATGAACTTCTGGGGAACATAAAGTAACAAAATAGGAAACTAACACCCAAGTATGGCAGAGATTAGTACCAGGAATTTTACTCAATGACCCGGAGGACAACCACACATGTTAGGGGAAGGGGGAGCTCAGAAAGAGAAGGGAACACCAGGTGAAGGGTGTTGGGAGGATCCGCCCATGATGGGAGAGCATGCTGAGGGTAGACTGTCGACCAAGCATGGTTGCCACTCAATGCCTCTTTTGACGACCATGGCACCCAAAAGGAGAGAGAGGGAAATGCCCTGCCACAGAGGCAGGGTGGGATAGGGACTGGGGGGGGGGGATGCTGGGATTCGAGGTGGTGGGAAATGCGCACTGGTGGAGGGATGGGTGTTTGATCATTGTATAATCGAAACCCAAGCACAAAAATGTGTAAGTCTACAACTGTACCTCATGGTGCCTCACTATTAAAAAATAAATAAATATAAAAAAAAGTAAGACAAACCCCCAATCATGCATAACTCCTACAAAATAGAGACAATAAATTAAAAAAATTAATAAAAAAATCTATGAACTAATTCTTAATATTTATGAAGTAGTTCTGATTTTTGCAGGTGTTACAAGCCCCAAGGAATTTTAGTTTAATTTGGAACAGAATTCTCTATTTTTTTCTTGATTTTTTTTCACTTTTGAAAATCGAGTTACAGTAAATTTGTTTATGAGTAATACTTTTGTATAATTCTATATTTGTTTGATGAGGTGTAAATTTTCTTACAAGTTATGATAACTGAAATCTTATGAGAATTGTTTTATCAATCATGTCGACATTGTGTGTATGTTATATATTATGTAACATTAAAACTATATAGGATTCTTGGTAGGGTGATCTGTTGCACCTAATTAAAAAAAACCTATTAAAAAGTAATACTATTTCTTGCATTCTTTGTAATGTTAGTGGGGAAAGTTATTTTATAATGTCTAGTTGTATGAGGTTGTTTTGAAAAGATCAGTATAATATCAATACTTTATTTTAAATATACCTGGTTGTATGGTCATGGTAGTAGAATAGTTTGTTGCCAATTGTTATTTAAAAAAACTAGAGCTTTAAATGTATTATGGCCATGTTAGGCTTAGGTAGTTTAAATTTTTCTTAACTGATATGAACCTATGAAATTATTTGCCTCAAAAGTGGCAGCCATTTGGCTGATAATGATCCGGTGAAAAGCTGTATTTGAATCAGTTATACAACAACATTACTGGGAGCTTGATAAGTGCACAGTCAAAAAAAATTAAAGTACTCTAATTTATAATATTGTTAATGGTAAAGTTTCCTGCATTTGATGTTCCAGCACCACAGTGTCCACTTTTCTCCACCACTGTCTCAGGGACACCTCCTGTCTACCTCTGCTACCTCCCCATCCTTGACAAATTCAATTCTGTAAACTCCTTCTCAGGTTCTCCTGTTATTGCCCATTTGTGATTCCATATTGTGCTTCTTTATATCCCACATATAAAGATCCCACACAGAAAGACCGTTCTGCACTTGTCCCTCTGCGTCTGGCTGAGTTCATTCAGCATGATATCCTGTAATTCCACCCACATAGTGGTACAATCTTACCTATTGTCAAATTGCTGTCAAAATAAACATTCAGACAGATTCTCCAGATGATTTGTGTGCACGTTAAATAAAGCTTGGAAAGTCCTTCCGTAGAAGATACAGGATAACACATGGATAAGGAGGAATACTTTATCTGAGGTTATAAGGTTATCAAGATTTAGGAGTTGTTAGAATAATCAAAAAACTGTTTACTATAAAAGCATATTCTCTCTAGGTTTATTCATCTTTGCTGGAATTAAGTATGTTTAATTTATACCTTTACCTTGGTATTTTCAGCTCATCTACTCAAGAAGATAAATTTTTTTCCTCACTGAATGAACCAGTTTGTTTTTAAGTCTTTTTATGATAATTGTGTTATCTGTATTTGCATGAAATTGAATCTTAAAAAAGGAGATGTAAGACAGAAGCCTTACTATTGTATCACCACAACATGTTTCATTTTGTTTGTGTGTGAGAGAGATACAGAGAGAGAGAGAGAGATAGACATCAGCTATATAGACACACATAATTTCTTCCTAATTAATGAATATCCTCAATGTTTGTGCAAAGTGAAAAAAAGTGGGTCACAGATTTATTTTCAGGTTAGGAAATTATCTGCTACTTAGTAGCTTGATAACTGTTAGTCAGTGAGCTGTTAGTCTACTAGCAGCTATGGGTTTGATGGATATAGTCATGTGGCTTCATTGGCCAGACTACCCCCATCTGTGGTTAAAAAGGAGTGTAGGACATATAGCTTTTCTATCAAAATTACTACTGTCATAATGTATCAATATATTTTAGAGCTTTTAGAATTTAGAGCAAGAAGTAAAGAAATACAAATGTCTAGACGGACATTCTTCTTACATAATGTAGAGAAAAGTAATCCGACATTTTTTATTCAGGATTTTTTAAGAATACGTTTTTGATTTGAACAGGATTTAAGTGGCAACTTGATAACAGATCATTTTAGGTAATTGCTGCATTTTCTCTTCAAGTTTTAGCTTCGATTTTGTTATGTCATGATTGTACTGAAAAAATGCCATGTAATGATATCACATTGCCATACCCCACACTCAGTAAATCCTTCTGATCCTTTGGCTCCACAGGAGAATGACTCAGGCACTTTGGACACAGTCGGCGCTGTGGTTGTGGACCAGGAGGGGAATGTCGCTGCTGCTGTCTCCAGTGGAGGTTTGGCTTTGAAACATCCAGGGAGAGTTGGGCAAGTGAGTACTTAACAGGGTTTTTCAAACTTGCTTTACAAATTGAAACATGGGAATATCTGGTTCACAATTTATTAAACCACTGGAAACTTTTTTTTTTCCTTTTTGGGTCACACCCGGCGATGCACAGGGGTTACTCCTGGCTCATGCACTCAGGAATTACCCCTGGCAGTGCTGAGGGGACCATACAGGATGCTGGGAATCAAACCTGGGTCTGCCACGTGCAAGGCAAATGTCCTACCCTAGCTGTGCTATTGCTCCAGCCCCGCCACTGGAAACTTTTTATTCTTTTCTTCTCCTTTACTTTCTGGGGTCCTCCCAAGCAGTACTCAGAAATATTGAGGGCCCCATCCCTCGATGGGGCTCAGCTAGTTGGGCTAGCAGCTGAATGCAGTGACCTGAGGATATGGCACTGCTCCAGTCTTGTTGATGCCAGAGTTTACCATAATCTCCGCTGTGGTGCTAGGTGGGGGGACCCAGAGCCACACTCTGCAGTGCTCAGAGGTTTTCAGGGTTACAGGTAGTGAGTGCTCAGGGGATCATGAAGTACCAGGGATTGAACTGCATTAATGATATATATGCTTTGCATTGACCCATATACTATCTTTCTAGGTGGAAACTCAGTTTTCTTTAGGAAAAAAAATAACAGTTCTTTAAATGTTTGTGTTATATAATTCATCAAATATCTTTTCCCAATTCTTTTTAAAGAAATCCTATTTCATTACAGTTGGTAATCCTATGTTTTGCTGCTTTTTGTGTGTAAGACTTGGTGCTCCTCTTCAGCGGAGGTAAAAATTGGCGCCACCAAGAGATCAGCAGCTTCATTTCCGCGAGTCATAGGTCCAGGAAGACCAGAATGAGATCTGACATGAGTAATAAAAACAGGCTCAGAGCGCTTTTGTAAAAGTGCTTGTAGCTGCTGAAGCAATTGTTGGACAATAGGACTGGGGACATTTAGAGAAGCAGACACGATACCAGGGAAGAGGCCAACCACATAAGCTGAGTCGGAGACTTTATTAGCAGGCCATGGCACATGGGAGAGAAGATAAATCAAAGTGGCAAGTTCCACTTGCTGGGCAGAAGTATAGGTGTGTTTACTGTTGTGTTTACAGAGGATCCAGAAATTCTGCCCTTCCCTGAGGAAGAGCCGTCAATCTAGTATACTGGAGCATCAGGAATAGGTGAGGAGCGAATGATGGAGGAAATGACAAATGGAGTTCTTTTGAAAAAAATCCCAAGTTTTTCCTGCTGGGTAATGGGAGGAAAGTTCTCCCAAAAAATCAGCTAAAGTTCTTTGCAAAGCATCACTGAGGGGCAGGATAGAGGCAGTTTCTTTCACAGGAACAGGGAGAACAATGATATTAGGATCAAATCCCAGCATGGCAAGGACTCTCAGTCTTCCTTTAATTATACGTTTAGCCATTAACTCGAGATAAGGCACCAGAGTGTGAGACTCCTTGTTGTTCAAATGGAGCCATTCTATTGGGCCTGAAAGCTTTGCCAGTGCAGCTGCGGGCGATTGTGGGGTATCGAAAGGCAGGAGCCACAGTTTTTCTCCAGGAGCAAACTGGGAAAGATGGGATTTCTGGAGTCGGTCTAGAAAAATAATTCAATTCTTTCTGAGCTTCAGGGGTTAACTGCCTAGGACTGTTCAGGGTGGAGTCACCTTCAAGGGTCAGGAATAGATTATGGAGGTCTAAGTTGGGAATGCATAGAGAGGGGTGAACCCAGTTAATGTTTCCTAGCTGTTTTTGAAAGTCATTAAGGGTTTTGAGTTTATCATGGCGAATAGAAATTTTTTGAGGTCGTACAGTAGTACGCTCAAGAACATAACCTAAATACTCATATGGAGACAGCATCTGAAATTTTCTGTGGCTATTTGTAATCCAGCTGCGGGTAGACCAGTTATAACATCCTCCTACAATCTTTGGAGCTCTCCATCATGAGAACAAGCCCACCCAGTGACGCCAGCTGTATAATCTTAGCACACCGAAGGTTGTGTGTTCACGGGCTCTCTGGATGGCTCTGTCTCACCACTGTGTGTGGCCTGGATCTGGACGGCTGTTGGCCTAGGGCAGACAAAGGAAGAAACGAGGGCCAGGCTGGTTGATATCAATTGTAGTTTATTCCAATCCTCTTCACTCCTGTCTCTCCTCTGCCTCCTTCTCTCCTGGGCCCCAATCTGGAACTTTTCTCCTTCTGGTTCTGACTCTGGATCTCTGGAGCCCAAGCCCTCTCACTTCTGACTCTGCTTCCAAGCTTACATTCTTAGTTTATATAGCAATCACATAAGGCGGTTACACAAAGGTGGGTTGAACATCAACAAATCAACAATGAGAGGTAAGACCACTCCTCCAGGAGATTAACTCAAGGATAAAATCTCATCTAAAGAGATTACTCCATATTACTAGGAGATCCGCTCAAGGGTGGGATCCCAACAAGGGTGTGTTCTTTCCTCAGCTAGTAATCTACTTAAATAATTGTAGTAAATCTACTTCTAATATTTCTATCAATGTCATTCTGTGTGAGACACAGAGACAGACAGAGGTAGGGCTGTAGGACTGGAGTGACAGCAGAGCAGTAGGGCATTTACCTTGTGCACAGCCAGCCCAGGTGAGTCAGATTCAATTCCTCCACTCCTCTTGGAGAGCCCGGCAAGCTACTGAGAGTATCTCGCCTGCACGGCAAACCCTGGCAAGCTCCCCGTGATGTATTCGATATGCCAGACACAGTAACAACAAGTCTCATGATGGAAACATTACTGGGCCCACTCGAGCAAATCAATGAATAACGGGAGGACCGTGACCATGACTTTGACTGTCATTCTGTGTGATCACAGTAAGAGATATAAATTTATAGTTTGGTTCTTCCTGAGAACATCTCACTATACATTCCGCAGTCCTCAGGCCATGTTAGTCTTCCTAGCCCCAGCAGGGTCCTTGTCTTATTGTTACTTACTTTTGGATCATGACAGCATTTGTCCATGATCATGCCCTCAACTTATAGTTGAGTATCGTGGCACTTTGGCCTGGCCCATTTCCATGCCGGGGTAGCTCACAGCTTGCTCTGGGTACATTCAGTCCCTTGTTGGGACCCTGCTTTTGGGGTGCTAGGAACTAAGGGCAACTGAGTCAAGAAAGCAGGTGCCCAGGAGTAAATATTATTTGGAGTCAATCAACTCCCAAGGTACAAAGCATAATATTAACTTTCTTCCTGTGTTCATACAGAAAGGACATTGCTTACAATACAAGTTCAGTGTCCTTAGAAAGATATTATTTTACAAGCTAACAATCTGATTAGGGAGAAAAGGTGATTAACTGGCTGGGGAGGAGAGCATAGTTATCAATAAACAAAAGAGTGGGAATTACAAGCACTGGGATGGGTGTGACCTGATAAACCTAAACTACCTGAGGAAGGACAAAACAGTGTTATCCTACATATTGGTACTGGCCACCTGGACCTTTCGTAGATACTAATGAACATTTGTTGATTTCCATGTTCTTTCTTTGTAAAATTCATTTTTATTACTTCCTGACTATATTAAAGTTTGCCTTTATAGATAGGAAAATGTTAGTTACATTTTATCTCGTCTTTCAAGGAGCACTAGTATTTTAAGCCTCTAAATCTCAACTTTGAGGAGTTATTTGGCTAGTTTGTAGACTAACCAGTATTTCAAATCTCCAATACATGATACTACTTAAGGAATCTAGATTATAAGGAAAATTTTATAGATCTGTGATTGGTTTATTCCCAATTCACTTGGACTCATTACTCACCCTTTCTCAATTGTTTAGTTAATATCTTTAGTTAGAACTGAGAATAAAATTTAACAATCCATTTAAATCTAGTATGCTTTCTGAGTATAAACTCATTTGACACATTGCTTAATGACTTAATATATATTTGTTGAGTGAACAAATGAATTGGACATCCTCATGGAGTCCTTGAAAGAAATTGCAAAGGGTGTGTTTCAGCTCAGCGTTTGGCTCTCATCTTACACATGGAACACTGCCTGACAGGCTCTGCATTTTGCTTCTTCATGTTGGAGAAGGGTTAGTGTCACAGTTACTTTGGAAGCAGTGGTTATTGAATGGCTGAAGAAGAGTGATCTGATTCATGGAGGACATCTTTGGAAGGCTCCAGTGATATTTCCTCATGTACCCTTTATTGTGGTCAACCTGCTTACAGTCATATAGGAAGAAGGGAAAAGAAGAATAATTAATTTTGTGCTACTCTTTGCCTACCGTACAAAGGGATATATGGGAAATGATTACTCAACCGCTGTACAATACTTTGAACTCATTATAAGAAGCCTTTGTCTGGTCTTGATATTTTTCCACATTATAAAGCCCTGTGTATTTATTTGTCAAGTTGGGAATAAGAAAACCAAGCTTGGCATATCAGATTTGGATGCCTTGATGGAGAAGGAGTGAAAGAAGCCTACAGAGGTGCCTTTATTGCATTGCAATTCCCATGACTGTCTCACTTTATTGGTTTGTTTTGGTTAGCAAAATAGCAACAACAGAACCAAGCATAGTTCTGGACTGTGTTAGCAGGATTCTCATCAAGTAATCCTGAATATTGTCCCATTGCACATGGTTATATCCTGTAATAAAGAAATACTTCTATAAAATCTACATGTTGACTTGCCTCACTTGAATAGTTTGTGTTTATAGTTTGTAAGAGCCAGGTGTTCACAAAAAGACTGTGGAGGTTAGGAGTAAAGACTCTGATAGCAAAATGCAATTTGATAGTTGTATTATTTAGATAGCACTGTCCTCCCATTGTTCATCAATTTGCTCGAGCGGGCACCAGCAGTGTCTCCATTGTGAGACTTCTTGTTACTGTGTTTGGCATATTGAATACATCATGGGTAGCTTGCCAGGCTTTGCCGTGAGGGCAAGATACTCTCGGTAGCTTGCCAGGCTCTCCAGGAGGGGCGGAGGAATCGAACTTGGGTTGGCCATGTTGGCCGCATGCAAGGCCAAGGCAAATGTGCTACC